GTCAGGTACCTCTCTTCCATTTCCTATTTGGAGATCAGTGTCTGAAAGCCTCCCTCGCCTCTCCTTCCAGGGGCTCTACCTCACTGTGCCTGACATTAGTTATGCATTTGGTACAATGCCCAAAACTGTCCTGAGGATAACTAAAGTACTTGCCTGGGGTAGATTTTTTTTGAGTGTGCCAAAAGTTTTGTGCTTTTTAGTGATGAGAGTTAAGCCTTACAATTGGTTTCAGAGAGGAAACTAGAAAGTGACAGAGTACTATCAGTGTTTAACAAGGACTTGGAAGAAAGATTTTTCTTTGCTCAAGGGAAGACATCAGAAGTGCAGATATGCATGTACAGTTGAAGCCCTGCAGAAAAATGAGCCAGTGAAAGCACTTCAAACACATGCAGGTTGGTTTCTGCAGTGAGCATGGAATGCGATTTTCCTTAGGAGTGATGCCATTTCAGGAACAAGGAGGATTTCACGATACAAAGTTATGTGAAAAATGTATAATCTGATGCATAGTGATTTTAACAGCGTGATACATTAAGACTTTGGCATTTTGGTGGACTAGTCTTACAAACTTCCTGGCTATTTCTTTATAAGGTAGTTTTAAAGATCATTTCTATTCTAAACTTTGATGCTTCTTTGTGTAGAATTCTTTCTTATTTTTTAAATGTTTATTTATTTTTGAGAGAGAGACGGAGTGTGAGCGAGGGAAAGGCAGAGAGACAGGGAGACACAGAATCCGAAGCAGGTTCCAGGCTCCAAGATGTTGGCACAGAGCCGGATGCAGGGCTTGAACCCATAAACCATGATATCATGACCTGAGCTGAAGTCGGAAGCTTAACCAGCTGAACCACCCAGGTGCCCCATGTGTAGAATTTTTTCTATTCTACTATCAAAATTATTCAAAGTAGGTTCTATCCAGACTAAAAATTGAGGGAAGATAAGATAATGAAATGTAAAGATTGTTTTCTCCCAGCAAGATATTTGTATGGCCCCTAAAAAACTTTTCTTCAAACCTACAAGGTGGCCATTCCTCAGATGGCCACAAGATGGCAGCTTTGAGCTAACAGCACGGGGGAAAAAAAATCCACCCAAAAGGCATTTGCTAGTTCCTGTGATGGTGCAAAAGACTCCAGATCTGGCTGTGTCTTTGCCTCTGCATCTCCACAGTGTGTTTCCCAGGTTTTACGTGAGGCAGAGTCTTGGCCATTTCCTCTTGTCCCTCAGATCACACTCTGCTGTCCTCAGCTGCAGAGGCTGACCAGTTGCATTTGGCCAATGGGGAGGTCCAGCCAGTGGGCAGACGGAGGGAGAATGAGGAGGTGCAGCTGCCCCCTTGCAGGATCACCTGGCACCACTTGTGTCCCCTAAAGAGCGATCACTGCTCTTCAGGGGCAGCCCTCTTCAGAACCTTGTTCTGTGCTCCAGTCACTCTCTCACCTCTTAGGAATGGTGACAGCTATTCTGTCTCTTGTGGTTTCTCTACACCCTCTCCATAGCTTTGTAAGTTGTCATACTTGTATAGAAAACAAACATGTTAAATTGTCCTAAATTGAGGTGCCTTCTGTTTCCTGAGGAGATACTGATACTATATTAATCATGTCTTTTTATTTTCTGTATTTCTTATGCTTTGACCTATAAGACCTTACTAAACCTGGAGATGATGCCCCTCTCATAGCTCGCCGATTCCTAGAGACAGGAAACAACTCACCTGCTCTTGTGCCTGTTGTATGCACATACACCAAGCCTGAGTCCACATCCTACCACTTCCTTTATCAAGCTCTTACACTCGAGGCCACTATTCCCCTGCCCTAATCACCAGAGGACAGCCCCTGGGCTTCCGAGCCTGCTGAAATGCCTGCTGAAATCATTCATATGAGCCAATCTGAAACCTACTCACCGTCCTCCCCTGCTCCTTTCTGCAGAAACCAAAATAATGATTCTGGCCCACATTTCCCCCTTGCTCGAAGTGCCTCAGACAGACCCAGTTCTCATCTGTGTTGCCTCTGTGGTGTGGCAGGCCCCTTCCTCTTGGCAACTGTAACAGACTTTCTTTTCAGTGGTGATCTTCTGATTTGTTGGCCTCTCCATACCTGAAAAATAATAAAGCCTACGTTTTAAAGCATATGCAAGTGTTTTGATACTTTTATCATTTTTTCCAAAGTTTGTTTGCATTCGGGGGTGGGGAAGGGCAGAGAACTCCAAGGAGTCTCTGCACTTTCAGCCCTGAGCCCAATGCAGGGCTCAATCTTGAGGTACAGTGAGATCATGACCTGAGGTAAAATCAAGAGTCAGACTCCTAACTGACAAAGCCACTGAGGTGCCCTGATATTTTTTATCATTTTAAAAAAATGGACAGCACTAGCCTGAATCTGTGACATCGCAAGAGAGTTGTAACTGGGAAATGTTATAGCTGTGTGGTGGGTTTTAGCAGGAAAGATGAAAATCTCAGTTTTTCCAATGGCCAAACATTCCCCCCAGTGAGAAATTCCCAAATACTATAGTAATAATAATAGATAATAAAAAGGAGCAACTAAAAGATTGAAATATGAAGATACAGCCTAGTCAGCAGCTTGCTGTATGTTTTATGGAGACAATCTTGAGAAAAATGGTTAGAGGGCATTTGTTTTTGTTTTTGTTTTAAATGAAGCTTAAAAAGCATTGGAAGGAAAACAAAGAATAATTCAGAAAGACATACTACTGGAAGGTGGTATTGATATATTAATATACGATAGAAATGAGTGGCTCAGGAAGCATCAATCTGCCTGAGCAGTGGTCATTTTTCATGCCTGGATGAATGTAAAGGAAAATCAAATTGTCACAAGTAGATCGGAACGATAAATTGGCTAATTTTCATGGCAAAAAGAACAAGAAAAGCAATAGATAAGAGCGTCTGTGAGCCTCTTTGCCTGCATTTTAGAAATAAATTCATTTCTAACAAGAATCCACCCGGGGCGCCTGGGTGGCTTAGTCGGTTAAGCGTCCGACTTTCGCTTAGGTCATGATCTCGAGGTTGGTAGGTTCGAGCCCCGCGTCGGGCTCTGTGCTGACTGCCAGCTCAGAGCCTGGAGGCTGTTTCAGTCTGTGACTCCCTCTCTCTCTGACCCTTCCCTGCTCACGCTGTCTCTCTCTCTCCTAGAAATAAAAAAAAAAAAAAAAAAAAACATTTAACAAGAATCCACCCTCAAGTCAATCTTGCAAAAGAGCTGGGACTGTGATACACTGAAAAAATTCAAGTCATCCATTTCACCCCTGAAAGGTTCTGCCGGGAGAAGCAGTAGCAGAGAGTGGGTCTCATGGACCTCCCATCACTCTCTTGCCTTATAAACAACCTTTGTCATTCTGTGGGGAGGTTTCCAGACCTACATTCTTTGTTATCTAGTCTTCCCTGTCTTTTATGAGCCAAAGGCAGTGAGTCCTACTCCCAAAGAGCATCTGCAATAGCATCTGCCTACTGGTCACAGGAATTATTACTGAAGGAAGCATCTTGAATTGCTACTAAAAATTCGAGGAAGGTCAGTAGTTTCTGGTAGAATATGGGGATAAGGACCGAGAAAGGAAACAGAAGGAGGAAGAAAAGAGGTAGTTTCCAAGAGCTAACTCATCTGGGATAATAAATGGTCAATGAGTACTTTCACTTTTGGCCCTCCCCTTTCCCTGGACATGGAATAGGTTGGCAGAGAGGAGAGCTTCTTCTTTCCTTCTAGGGCATTTGTTTATGCATTGCTTTTATTTATTATCCTTTTCATCTTTACTGAGGTTACACTATGCTTTTAGAACTTTGATTTCTTGTGCCCAATTCCTGCGGTCTGCACAAAGAACTGAACACTTTCTCCTAATCCTGTATGAAAACAGATGACTGGAACTAAGATCCCTGCTTTAGAAAATGTCATGGATATAAGATTTTCTTTGAAGTTATTTTTTTTGTACAATCAAAAGATTGGAAACACTTTTAATCATCACAAATAGGGATTTGGTTAAATAAGTTATGGTCCTTTTATTCTGAGGCAGTGAGCCTGAAACCGCTGAGGGCATTTGAGTTAACAGAGGCCATTTTTAATGAGAAAGCTCTTTATACAGAAAGATGTTCAGGATATATTTTAAAATAACAAAATAAAGTTCAGAACATTTTGTATAGTGTGCTAATATTTGTATAAAAGCTATCTATATTCTTGCATGTGCATAAAGAAGGCGTAAAAACGGATAATCAGTGGTCCCAGAAGGGGATGTTGGGGGCAGGAAGTCAGGGGTAGGAGGGAGTCATTATGATTTTGGACCATGAGACTATATTACCTGTTCAATAAGCCAATTAATATGATTTAATTAAAAATTGGGATGAACTGCAATTAGAAGAAGGAATGTCACACAGGCTTGGAAATTATTAATTGTAAAAGCAGTAATGAAAAGTAAAAACATCCCCTGTACCTCTCAAAAAAAACCTAGATAAAAGAGAATGTCAAAGGAGCAGGAAGCCTCTGGGAGAAGGCCTCATAAAGTTCCAAGCACATCCTCAGCCAGTGCCAACTCTGGGCAGCTTTGTACGTCAGCTCCTAGGGAACTTGCTCAGTTCAGTTCAGAGAGACAATTGGGCTCAGACAGACAATAAAGCAGAGAAAACTCCACTCCAGTAACATGAATTAAACATCCTCCTTTATTCCTGTCAAATGGCTTCCTCAGGATGATCCCAGACACCTTTAGGAGGAACCTGCTCTGGGTGAAGAGGAAGGGAAGTAGCAGCCTAAGATCTCATCCTCTGTTCTTCAACAGTGAACTAGCTGTGGCCTCTTTTGAGGGTTAAATGAGACAATGTATGCAAAGCACTTATCACAGTGCCTGGCCTAGGTTTGGTGCTCAGAAATGGCAATTATTGCTGACTGTGTCATGAAGTAGAAGTAATAATTATTACCACTTATTAGATAAGGAAACTAAGTCTCAGAGAGGTGAAGTAAGCACCCCAAGTTACACAACAAGAAAGGGAAGAAGCCTGGTTTGGAAGCCCGGTGGCTCTGGCACTCACTTGGGCAGCATGTACACTAAACTTGAAATGATACAGAGAAGACTAGCATGGCCACTGTGCAAGGATGACACGCACATTCATGAAATCTGGTGGCTCTGACTTCAGTGCCTCTGTTCTGCCCAGTCCCTCAAGGCACTTCACAAATACACCTGCCAATGTGCATTCATCACACCTTTAGATACTCAAATCATACCCTAAGGTGAAGAGTTTTGTTTATATCAGCAGATACAGATATAATACTTCTTATTTTCAGAACAGTAGCAGCCTGTGTTGCTAACTATAGAAAGAGAAGAAAATGAGCAAGCATTACCAGGGTCTGCACCTTATCAGTCTCACTCGTGAGTGAAATAGACAAGCACAATGTACAGGAGGGAATTCTGGAAGCTTCTGGGCTGTTCTGATGGATTGAGATAAAATGATCTTAGAAAACATTCACTCCCAGCTTTGCCTCCTGCATATATTACTGATGTCTTTTCTTGGTATCTTAAGATTTCATAGATCTGTTAACTATCCTCTTACCAGTATCCCAATTAACCATATCTTAACATTTATAGCTTGGGGAGATCTTTTTTTTTTTTTTATTATACTAGGATGGGTTCTCTGGCCTGTGGGCCAAATCCAGCCTGCTACCTGTTCTTGAAAATAAAGTTCTATTGGAACATGACCACACTCATTAGTTTATGGCTTATTTCATGCTAGAAACCCAGAGTTGAGTAGTTGCGACAGAAACTACATGGCCTATGAAGCCTAAAATATTTACTAGCTGACATTTTATAGAAAGTTCGCTGATCTCTGCACTGGAGAAACAGGTACAAAAAGTAAGTGTGGCATTTCTGTGCTCCAACATCCTAACACACATTATTTTAAAGCATTAATAGTCTGTCTCCACTGATGCATGTGGCTTAACATCTGGAAGAGAAGTACCTTTTATATGGACACTGTATGTACTTACCTCTTGGAATGACTTGTGTTTTCAGGTAAAATGTTTCTAAAGTTCCCTCACTGGATAAATACTCTGAAAATCTTGTCTCACATGAATATGTTTGGGAGAGAAACATATTCCCTAAATGTGTTTGGAGACAAAAGTGGTATGAAGGAAAAAAAAGGCTTTGAGATCCTTTGGGTGGGACTAGGGGATTTATGAATTAACTAGTTTGGGGCTGTGCCCTACCTCAGTAACTGAGTAAGAAGCTTACCTATCCCTGACTCTTCTCTGTCTCTGACCTCAAGCACCAGAGAGTATAAAGAGCATAAAGCTCATGGGCCATGTTTTCTGTTACTAGAGTCTTCAGAATGGCCTAGAGATGTCAAAGGAGACCTGGCCTTGCTCTCTCGTGCCTCTGGAGGCAGTCCAGTGTCAGACAAAGCAGTGAAAGTAAATCTATCACATCCTGTCTTTAGGCCTCAGAGTCCAGTACCTGAAAGTGTCCCCAGACCTAAGACTGATGAGTAGATGTCAGGGAGAGTGGGAAGGAAATTGAACTAACATGACATCCAGTCTATTAGCTTGGGTGAACTTGACTGATCAACTTCATGTAGGTTGGGAAGGAAACTAGTTGTTAGAACAAGAGCTGAAAGCTCTAAGTTTTTTCTATCAGTTCCTCAAATGTCATCTGAAAATTCTAGTATCAGAGCTTCTGTCTCTCTAATTCTGTAGGGGCTGAGACTCAGCTATCTTGATTAGTCATTTGTATTCTAGTACGTAGAGAGGGCCTAAGACCAGGTGGTCTTGGGGGTGTAAGGCCTCCAAAAGTGGGCATTGAGGGGCTTGTCAAAACCAGATGGAACTTGGGATACAAGCTTTACACATGTCCTAGGTCACTCCTATCTCTCAATCCCTTTTGCACTGCCTCACTACACAACAATGCCTCTATTAATGAAACTGCTGGGATGAAACTGCTTTACAATGAACATGATGTGTTAAAACAAAATAACAGATTCATAAATCACACTAAACAGTACTGCAAGATATCAGGGGGTTTAGCTGCAATATTCCTGCTGATCTACATAGTCAGGGCACAAATCTTTTCAGGTACAGTTTTGATTCATCTCCCAAAACTGAAGGAAAACAGAGTCTACCTACCCTCGTTGGAGACTCTATCTCCCATTCTTTTAGGTATTCTGAGACCTCTTGTTCTCTGACTTTCCCAACCACAAAATTCATTGAACAAAATTATTTGTTAAGGGCCCACTAAGTACAAGATAAGGAGATCTAGTGGCTAAATGCACGCACACACACACACACACCTCACACACATTCCCAGAAGGGGAAATCAGGCAACTATTCATAGTAGTGTATTACAGAGTATGATAAATGTTGTGAAGAAAAAGAATAAAATGGTGTGAAATCATGTAAAAAGGGGACTGACCAGTTTCAAAGAGAGATATCACTGGAATATGTGTAAAATTCCTAAGCTGGGGGAGAGTTTGGTCCCTTCAAGAACTAAAAGAAAGGATGATACATCAGGCTAGAGAACGGATGGGAGCAGCCCAATAGGTATGCTGGCTGGATCATTGGGAGACATGGATTCATGCTAAGGATTTTAGTCTTATTTTTTTAAATGTTTATTTATTTATTTTGAGGGAGAGAGAGAGAGAAGAAAGGAGAGATGATCCCAAGCAGGTTCTGTGCTGTCAATGCAGAGCCTGAGGCAGGGCTTGATCCTACAAACCACTAGATCATGACCTGCGCTGAAATCAAGATTCGGATGCTCAACTGACTGAGCCATCCAGGAGCCCCAAGTCTGTATTGTTAAGAGCACATGGGAATCCCCAGAAGGGTTTATAGGAGGAGGTTTATAAGATTGAATGTACATTTTAAAGAAAATTTTATTTTATGGACAACAGATTGAAAGGAAGGAAGAGTTGATGTGGGAAGACAGGAGGCTTAGACATAGTGGAGGTGGAAGGTCATATTGATTTAGACTGGGTGGTACTGGTAGATTTGGAACAAAGTGGATTCTGAGCATATTTAGGGGTAAACTCAGTTGTATTTGGGTTGTATAGGAAATGTGATAAAAGAGAGGAAGTATCAGGGTGAATCCAGTGGGTGTGCCATGCTACATGGCTGGAGATGCCACAAACTGGGTGAAGAACATAAACATAGAGAAGGACATGGATTTGGAAGGGGAGGGAAGATTATGAGTTCCTCATTTGCTGACAGATCACAATTTGCTAAAAGTTCACTTGGTCTATTTACATTTTTTTTTAAATGTTTTATTTATTTCTAGGAGAGAGAGAGAGAGCGTGAGCAGGGGAGGGTCAGAGAGAGAGGGAATCACAGACTCTGAAACAGGCTCCAGGCTCTGAGCTGGCAATCAGCACAGAGCCCGACGTGGGGCTAGAACCCACGAACCGCGAGATCATGACCTAAGTGAAAGTCGGACGCTTAAGCGACTAAGCCACCCAGGTGCCCCTGGTCTATTTACATTTAAAACCTTTGAATTCTGAGAAGTTGAAGGATTTATCTTTTACTCATAGAAGTGAATAAAGAAATATTTGGGTAAAAAGGAGACTTCAGTGTCATACTTATAACCTCTTCTGCCTTCTGAGGGGAGCCTCTTTGATTGCTGGGCACACTGATGCCAATGCACAGGGAAATGCTCTGTACCATAAAAGAGTGAAAAAGTAGGGATCTTGAGGATCAGTCTTTCAAGATCATGCACCTTGTGAGGTTGGATTGGAAAATGCAAGCTCTAGGATATGCACAGGAAGGTGAGGGGGTAGGAGGAGTCTGGAGAAGAAAAGCATGGAAAGAGGAGTTGACGTAGTATTCTTCTGGGGAGTGCACTGCAGAACCTCATTCACATCTCCCCTCTAAAATCTTCCATAGATTTTCTTTTGCTCACTATGGAGAGAACTGACATTGGGTTATAGGAAGGCCAGGATGGAAGTGAACCACTCTCAGGGAGATGGGCATGGAAGCTAACCCACAGAGATGAAGGTGTACAGGTGCTTGCCTTCTGGCTCAATCTGCCCTTTCAGTGCTAGAAGACAAGGGACTATAAGAAAAAGAAAAATAAGGTGAGGAAAAAATAAGAAAAGGGAAGGCAATACATTGTTGGGGTACTATTCTCTGTCTTTTTTTTTTTTAATGTTTTATTCATTTATTTTTTTTTTAGGAGAGAGAGAGAGAGACAGCGTGAGCAGGGGAGGGTCAGAGAGAGAGGGAGTCACAGACTGAAACAGGCTCCAGGCTCTGAACTGGCAGTCAGCACAGAGCCCGACGCGGGGCTCGGGCCCATGATCCGTGAGATCATGACCTAAGCGAAAGTCGGACACTTAACCGACTAAGCCACCCAGGCGCCCCTATTCTCTGTCTTCTTAAATCAAAAATATATTGTGAGGAGGATACTCTATATTAAATTAACTCATACTAAGGCAAAGGTTAGTGCCTTTCAAAAGGAAAATGGCTGTTGACCCTTCATCTCCTTTTTTGGGGCATTCTTGGGGTGGAGGTGGTTTTGCATGCTTAGTTGTATATTTATTCAATCCTTCATCAAAAATTTGTTGAGTTCCTTCTTTATTTTTTTTTTGGTAAATTTTATTTTACATTTAATTTTTTAAAAAAGCCTTCCTTCCTTCCTTCCTTCCTTCCTTCCTTCCTTCCTTCCTTCCTTCCTTCCTTCCAAGAACAAGCAGGGAAGGAGCAGAGAGAGAGAGAGAGAGAGAGAGAGAGAGAGAGACTCCCAAGCAGGCCCCGCACTGTCAGCACAGAGCCCAGTGTAGGGCTTCAACCCAAGCACCAAGAGATCATGACCTGAGCTGAAACCAAGAGTCAGGCACCTAACCAACTGAGCCACCCAGGCATCCCTATTGAGTACCTTTATTGAGCTAGGCAGGGGTATAAAGATGAGAGTCACGGTCCCTTATATATTTGCAGGGAATTTACCACTTAATGGGAATAGAGGCAAACAGAAACATTTTAATATGATCCCTACTATATTAGGGAATAGGAGAATGTAAAAGGGGCTTATGAGTCAGTCTGGGGGATTGCAGGAATGCTTTATCTACAAAGTGATTCTTGAAGAGAAAACATGAGTTTCCATAAGGTGATGTTGCAGTGAGGAGGGAAGCTATATTTGGTATTTGGAAGAAGA